TATCATCTTGAAAGATAAAAATACCACTTTACGATGGATTTGATTATTTAAATAAATGAATTTTTTAACATTTATAAGATCGGCATTTAAATTTACAAATCTTTCCTCTACCTAATCCGAAGACTGGATAGAGTTTAGATTAATCTAACATACTAAAATCCTATAAGTGCAATGCCCTATAGTTAATTATATTTTAATAAATAAAGCTCCTAGAAGAAACTTTCAATTAAGGTTGTGGTTTTATTGCCAAAAAAATTCTAAGTTTAAATTTTCACGATTGATTATTAGGCATCTCAAAATGAAAAGACTCAAAAGTGGAATAGTTCTTCGTGAAGTTCGTAAGAAGAAATAAGAGGTGTTGAAGATACTGAGAATGTTGGTAACATCTCAACTATCATATTATCTGGCTTTATTGATTTTAATTGAGATAAATTTTTATTGTTTTAGTTAACATTTTATTAGCATGTTTGAACTTATATCATATAATATAAGATTATGGGAAGGTCTGGGAGGTGAGAATTTACGACATAACTAGACGACCAATCTCAGAGTCCTAAGACTAAAAATGAGGCTTGCTGAAAAAAGTATAACCTCGAAACCTAGTCTAAAAAGAGAAGAAATACAACAAACAAAGTGACTTATAATCCAATTGTATATAGAATCGAGCAAGCCTAACGATTAGACTTACAATCCGGTCTAGAAATGGTTGTCATTTAAACCCCCATAATTACAATAAAACTATGCATGATTGGTCTCAGAAGTGCAAGATATGATAGGTTGTTGTATAAAGGAAGATGACTCTGCCAAGCCGAAAAAGAAACCCCAGCATACGCAAAGGGTTTCCCTATTGGCAGAAGAAGTTGTTGAGGACCTCCAGGGCGAAATAAGAGGGGAATAGAAGGTTTGATGCAGGTAACTTTTAGTCGAACTGAGTGGCTTCATACAAGAGGGAAAGAACCAAAGCCCTAGAGGTAAGCGATGTTATGACTAGGAGAGGAAGAAGACCAAGCCCTAGCTCGCAAGGAGGAGTTCTCACGTGAATTTGTTGAATCGAGCGAGTTTATACGTGAAAAAAGGAAATGTGTGCTGGTAAGGGAGGAGGTTTATACAAGTGCATATAATATAAATTTAAAGTTTATATTGTTACTAGAATAAATGATATAATTAGTTAAATTAATCTTAATATTAACTTTTATTTCGTTGGGAAGATTTGAAAAAAAATTTATTTGGATTTGAAAATGATAAATGATTGATAACATTGAAAGTTGAGGTAAGATCTATGCTCTTAATTGTATAAGTTATTTTAATTAAATGTCATTATGTGGTTAATATACTTCACGAATGAAATCAATGATTAGAATTTAGAAGTGCTTATGATTCAGAAGAAGATTGGGGAAAAATATTTAAATTAATTAGTTTATTTGTTTTAGACAATTATTTTAGAAATAAAATCCTTATGCTTTCAAGTAAATGAATGAATAAGCATTTAAGGAAAACTCCTAGAGATTAAGGTGGGTAATTATTATTTTATTTGTGTTAAATTAATTCTTTTTAAGTTAAAAACGAATCATCGGTTATACATATTGATGCGTGCTAGAAAATTTGTTACGGTGGGGTAACATATTTTCGTCTTAGCGTTGTACGATAATTCAACACACATACACAAAGAAGAGAAATAAACAATGACGACTTCAGAAATTTTTACGTGAAAAACCCGTAAAGGGAAAAAATCACGGGGTCTGACACAGTTATAAAAATTCACTATAGGTTGATGATTATAAATGTCCCTTGTCCACAGATGAGAATTGGTTACTAGATTTTTCAAGTTAGAACGTCGTCTGACGACGTCTGGTCAGCGGTGGTCGACGTCTAGGTGGTCGACAGATGTCAGCGGTGATCGACGGTGGTTGACGACAGTCGATGACGATCGGTGGTGGTTGACAGAGGCCAACGGTGGTTGACGACGACCGACGGTGGTCGACGGAGGTGGGCGGTGGTTGACGACAATTGGAGGTGGTCGACGACGATCGATGATGGTATGGATGATGTTGGACTTGAGCTTCTTCTCAAAGCCTCAAGTTCTCTCTAAAGTCTCTCCTCTCATGTGAGGGGCGGGGCTCTATTTATAGTGTTCTGGGTGCAATTAATGTAGGAATATGAAACATTTTGATCGGACGGTCCGGAGAGCTTACCTCAATCGGATGACATTTGATGAACATTTGAGCGCCTTAACAATGTCGGAATTGAGCAATCTTGGGCTTGTTCGATTCATATTGTTGAGCTGCTCAATTCGATTATAAACTCTTCGATTGTAAACTCGCTAAATTCAACATTCGTTTGACTTTCAAATGTGTCTGGAAATCTTCCACGAATGGTTTAGTCCCTTGTTCTGGGCTTGATTTGACTCGGATTGGACTAACTTTGATATCATTAGGTCTGTCTCATCGAGTCGGTTAGTTTGACTATAAGTTTGCTGAAATCGGAGCTCCGGATGACTTTTTATCAAAATTTGAATATTTCTTGCTCAAAATATTATCTCGAAATTCGTGTCGGATGATGAAAATTTGTCGGCGTATTATCACATATTAAAAACATTCTTATAATTGAATGAAGATTATGATTTAAAATTTTTTATTTTTTTGTAGTGTATTAAATAAAAAATGAATAAATTTAATTGTTGAAAGAAATGAAATATACAAAAAAAAATGATATATATAAATAATTAAATCCATCAAGAGTCGATCTTTTTATGATACAAGTAAGGGAAATTATTGTACTCATGCCGCTTAAAATAAAAAAAAAAATAGAAATTTTTGTCATTAAGATACAAAATGAAAAAAAAAAAATGAAAATAATTGTCTTTTTTTGGCATTAAAAGAAAAATGTTTTAACAATGCTCCTGAATTGCTTTCAAAAAAAGAAATGAAAAAAAAAATGAAAATGAAAATATAACTGATAAGAAATCTATATTCAATTTTATAATAATGAAAAATGCAAATCATATTTTTTTTATCAACATATTTTCTTTAGCATTTACATTACAAATTGAATGATATTACTGCCTAATAATATTATATAAAAATATTTATTTTCATCGTCTGATTGTTTGTTTCCGTCTTAATTAATTATAAGTTCTTTGGTCGTGTCGTGTCAAAATACTAGTAAGTATATGTTCCCCTACAATTTTAAAAGGCCAAAAATAAAAAAAAAAATACACAAATTCTATATTAAAAGACAAAATTTTAATATAATATGTTCTCTAAAAATCTTAGAAAGTATATGCTTTGGAGAGGTATATATTTCTTAAAAATTTGAAAAGATACACAGCTTTTTTTTTCACATTATCAATATATATTAACATTTATTCATAGCTTCTCCAACTATTTAAAAATATCTCGAGGCTTGAGCATCAAAAGAGGCATAATCTTAAATCATCTAAAATCATTGAAGATTTAGCCCTCAGAAGGATTAGTGCTTATTTTGTTGCAATTAGTGCTGTCAAAACGGCTCGTTGTTCGCAAACAGCTCGTGTTCGGCTCGTTAAGAAGCTCGATAAGTTAACATCTTTAATAAACATTGGTACGTCGGGCTGATGACATTAAACCAAGTGCTTTGTGGGAGGCAACCAATAAATATATATATATATATATATTAGTATTTTAAAAAAATCTAATTGACTACAAGACTACAAAGATTTATAATCAATTAAAATATTGATTAAAAAAATAGAATAAAAATTATTAAATTAAATTCAAATTATGTTTTAATCTAACTAATAATTTTTAATTCTTGCTCAAACTCTTATTGTCTTATGGCTACATGATTAGAATTGTTCAAAGGACTCTTTGTTCGTGACCAGCTCGTGTTCGTCTCATTAAGCAAACGAGCCGAACACGAGCTGAGCTAGGCTAGCTCGTCTTTGGCTCGTTTACACCCCTAGTTGCAATGATGACTATTGTCTTTTCATTGCGTACTTAAGGATTCATTTGTTATATGCTTGATTTGTAACCATACTTAAATTTTTTACATATATCTTTAAAATGTTTGAATGTCTCGAGTCTTTTGTAAGGGGCAAATTCAAAAAAATGTGTACTCTAATTCAAGTATTTATAATTCTTCAACTATCATCATTGACAAGTAAGATAACATATTCAAGAAAGCTTTTGGTCGTAAATTTTTTATCTTATCAAACATTGATATTTTTATATGAAGAGTTTTGATGGAAATAGCAAAAGCATTCATTAACTTTCACGGGTAATTAAGAGTTTTATGATGATTAGTTCGATCACATGAATTCATTAATGACAAAATTGTCAAAATTTCAACACCAAGATCTCCAAAAAAAATTTATAATCCTTTTAAAGATAAGTAGCAGCAATTCACAATGGTATTTGAGTATATATATATATATATATATATATATATATATACTCAAATTATTATATTTATATACAAATTTCACGGGAGAAAACCATCAATATTTTAACTTCAAAGCTATGAAAGACTCCTTTATCTAATCCAAAAACAGAAGTACTAACAAATTGCCAATAATTAGAAAATCTAACCTATAAGCACGAGTTAATGCTTAATTAGTTAACTCTTTCGTGAAATTTTGAGAAGATTATAAGATGAAAAAAATTCTGACCAAAATAAGAATTAGGGAGATCAAACAAAATAAAATAAAATGTGCGAAGTAATTAAATAAAATGCTAAATCAGACTTATGGTATTGAACTACAAAATTTGAAATTTCTAATACCAAATAGTTGTACATCAAAATCAGTCAGATATTAATTATTACAATAGTAAATAAGTCTTTACAATAATAAATAAGTTTGTGCGTAGCATAGCATAGGATGAGATGAACATAAGTAAATAACAAGTCCTCACCTCACACATTCACATTTTGATGGGAAGAGATTGATTTGTAATGACTCAAATTATCAAATAAGGACATGAGGAATGTGTGCGATATTGTGCCAATCAGAGCCTGAAAATTTTTTATAACGCTCCCTCAACTCTGGATGACAATTTATTACTGCTATTGAATCCAAGGAGGAAGGGAGGTCTGGCAATGATTTGAGATTCTGGCAATGATTTGAGGAGTGGAATGCTAACTAACGATAGATGGTTGAGGGATGAGATGGCCGACAAAGAAGATGACAGGCACTGTAGGTTACCTAGATTATGTAGAGTCAGATCATACAAAGAGAGCGGGAGTTCTGGCAATGATTTGAGGAGTGGAATGTTATCTAATTCTAGAAACTTGAGGGATGAGATGGCCGACAAAGAAGATGGCAGGCACTCTAGATTATCAAGCTTACTTAGAAACAGTGAATCCAAGGAGGAAGGGAGGTCTGGCAATGATTTGAGGAGTGGAATGCTATTTAACTCTAGACGGTTGAGGAATGAGAAGGTCGACAAACACGTTGGCAGGCACTGCAATGATTCCAGGTATTCAAGACGTAATTCTTTCCGGGAGGCGGGGATGTGTAGAAGCTGCTGGAGCTGAGGAACTTTTACGACGCATAGAATCTTAAGTGAAGAGAGGCGTTCCAAGAAGGAAGGGAGAGACTGCAGCACATCATCATTACAAATTGTGAGCTTTTCCAAGGAGGCGATACTTGCCGTTGCCAACAAGGATGAGTCATCTATAACAACTTCACTGAGAACAAGCTGGAATGTCTCAATGCCACTCTCCACTTGCAGCAGTCCACCGAGAGAAATCAGATTGGGGCAACCTTCAATTCTCAATTTTCTCAGTGCTTCAAGTCTTGCATTCGCCTGAAGAGGAGATGTGATGTTTGGGCACGAAAGGACCTCTAAACTTTCAAGGGGAATGGATTTTGAAATGCTGCAACAGTTGTTGGAGCCTTTAGTGCACTTCAAAGCAGCTTTCCATCCAACTTTTTCTATATGCATGTTCTTGAGCTTAGGAGGCAAATAGCACAACTCCTGCAGATTTGGGCAGTTAACGAGAAAGAGTTCTGTCAAGCAAGGAAAGAAACAGTCATCTGCTGCTGCTCCTGCTTTATCAAACAAATCCTCCAATACTTGTAATCCCTCCATATGTAGAACCTCAAGCGCTGGAAACACACAAATATTGTTATTCCCACTGAATTTATTATCAAGCTGCTTTACCTTTGGCATGTTACAAAGGTACAGAGACTTGAGGTGGGGAAGCTGCCCAAAAGGAGGAAGGGTTTCCCACTCCGAGCACCCGTTCAGATTGATGTACTCTATATTGGAGATCAAATCTGCATTGTTCATCCATTTTGCAGAGCATACACCCTTGTATGAAAATATGGACAAACTCTTTATATTTTTGTATGGTTTAAGATTTTCAAGCACATTCAGATCTAAGTCAGAATTGATAATGCTCCGTAGGCTTCCAACTCCCATGTCTGAGTTCAATTCATCAACAGTATTGCCCCAATTCAAGAATAAATCCGTGAGTTTTCTCTTTTCACATATTTTTGCCTTGCAAACCTCTCTAGCATCCAGCACATTTTTCAGAAAATGTATTTTTAATTTGCGCAACTCGCTCATATGTTCCAACTCCCCAATTCTATAACCATTCTCATTCTTAACATTAAACGCATTTAGTTCTTGAAGTGACCTTAATTTCCCAATTCCAGGTATAAGAAAATGCATTCAGTACTAGAAAATGCATTCAGGGGCAATTCCAAATGACGCAGATTAGAAAGATTGCTCAAATCGCCACGAAAGAAATCATCAGAGCAAGATCGCTGAAGCCCTTTATTATAGATTATGAACCGCAAATGATAAAGACTGCTTAGAGATCTTGGCATCTGAGTGAGATTTGCAGTAAGATTCAAATATCGAAGATGTTTCAAGTTTTCAATAGCTTCAGGCATCATTTTCTGCCATGGAAACCATATGAATAACAAACGGATGCTACTTGATTCCTTGAAAATTTTAGTAAGTATTTCAGTAGAACTTGGACCAACGTTTCTTTTGATAATAAAAAGTGAATGTAGATTTTTAACATCTTTGATCATTCTGAACACTTCTGCATTTCCAGTTCTAACAAATAAGTGTCGAACATTTATAGTAAGTTTAAATGAGGAAACATTATCTCCTATGAATCTATAACAATCTTCTGAAGAAACAGACTGTGCCAAATCATGTAATAAATCATGCATCTTATAATATATTCTCTTGTCATCCTGAAACTCGTCAAAGAAAGATTTTCTGACCAAAACATCAAAATACATTCCTCCAATATCTTCCAAAGTCTCTCCTTCAATAGAAGATTCCTGAATGAAACCCAATGCAATCCACATTCGGACTAAATCATCTTTATCAAACTCATGATCATGTGGGAATATGCCACAAAATGCAAAACAATTTTGTAGAAGTTGTGAGAGGAATGTAAAACTCAATCTTAAGATTGGCAAAATGTTATTGCGACCTGGTTCTGGTTCTACGTTTAGAACACCAGGACTATTTAAAATGTTCATCCAAAAGCTCTCATTCAAGTTAGAATTGAGAACACCACCGATGACCTTCGCTGCCAACGGAGATCCTGAAAGCTTTTTAACTATCAAATTAGAAATATATGTTAGTTTCTTATGAGCACCAATGATTTCTACACCAGCAAATGCATGGGTGTTGAGTAGCTTCAAACACACATCTTCCTCCAAGCCCTTTAATGAATAAATTTCTTTATCCTTACTAACCACATTTGCAATCATCGATGCAACTTTATCCATCCGGGTAGTCGGCAAAATTTTACTTTCCAAACCTCCGTAAACTAGAGGGCAGAGTACATTTTCCCATTTGTTCATATCTTCCTCCTCCCAAACGTCATCCAGAACAAGCAAAAACCTTTTCGATTGCACGACAGCTTTAAGACTCTCTTGAAAGGCAGCAAGTGATTCCGAACGAGGCCTCTCCTTGTTAAGATATCCCAACATATCGGCAATGATCTTTTTTGCATCAAAGTGGTTGGAAACACAAACCCACATTTTCAGTTCAAATTCTTCTTTCAGATCTTCGATCTTCATAGATGTGTTAGATGTGTTGTAAGAGAGTTGTCTTGCCCATGCCACCGTGACCCACTATGGATAGAAGAGAAATGTTTTTATACAAAGTAGGGCAAGCAATATGAGTTGGATCTTCATTTGTTGTCTTCCTCAACCACCGCATAAAAAAATCTTTGTCCTCGCCTCGACCGATGAGAACATTTTTAGGCAAGCATCCTGTTTCACGATCTTTGCCCAACTGAAGCTCCTGCTCCTGCTGCTCCTGCTTTGTGTTTTCGATGAGATGAAGGAAAGTACTGAAGTACTGACCTCAGCCGAAACTTTATCAAGTTTCTTCACAACCTTCTGCAGTCTCTTCAAATTGGGATCCCTCTTGAGAGCACGTTTGCCAATTTTCTTCACAACCTTCACAACCTTTTGCTGCTTCTTGTTTCTGGTAAGCTGTTCTTCAAGCTTCTCGTACTCAAAGTCAGTACTCAAAGTCTCTGCCTCATCGATGGCATCTCGTAGCTGCCAGATCCAGCTGTTAAGTTCCGGGTCCAGCTGCCAGATCCAGCTGTAAAGTTCCGGGTTGCGATCTCTGATCTGTGCTCGGGTGTAAGCATAGACAACAGCTCGGATCTTGGGCTGGTTCTCTCGCAGCCTTTCAAGCTCCTCCTTCATGCCCGTCTGCCATCTATATTGATCTTTAAGGTAAACAGAGCAAGCTTCGAAGATCTTATCGACGATTGGGTCAACAAACGAGTCTGCCATGGCACAGATCAAGGTTAGGAGGAGGAGAGACGGTGGAAGAGAGGAAGAGAAGAGAGTACGGAGGTAGGTGGCTTTGCTATGAAGGATGTGTGGGGGGCGATGGAGGGGATGCGTGAAGTATTACCACCGTGGTTTCCTGTTGACTCTCATTGACGTAGAGCCATTGGTGGCATGCTATAATGGATGCGTGGTTGAGGATGGAAGGGATGTTTCGTTTAAGTATGTGGGTTAAGTGGTTTCTACTCTTACGATGTGGTTTCTACTGTGTAATAAATTAAAGAGCAGGATTTTTTATCACTAATATTATTTAACTAAAAAAATATTAATTCAAACAGCTTAATATACTTTGTGATTTAAATTTATATTGTTTAATTACTTTCATAAACTAAACAATAATATTTAAGAAAAAATTCAATTAAAATTAATTTTAATTTAATTAGCAATTTTTTAATTAATAACTAAATATTAATTAAAAATTTTTACTATCAACAACAACAAGAATAACAACAAGCCTTTATCCCACTAATTGGGGTCGCTTACATGAATCATTTTTCTCCATTGCGTTTAAGTGAGTGTTATATTTTAATTTAATTCTAATAAATTAAGATCATTTCTTATACAATATGCCCAAGTCTTTTTATATCTATCTTTGCCTTTCTTAACATAAGATGAATCTAAAACATCTACACTCCTAATTGGATTATTAGATGGTCAACGTTTAATATTAACAAACCATCTAATGAGCCATTTTGATAGCCCCAATCACACAAACCCCTTGCACATATCAAGATTAAGAGGAGAGACACTGAAAGAGAGGAAGGGAAGAGAGTCAAGAGGATGGATTGCTACAATGGATGTGAGGTGGGCAATGGATTTCTACCGTGGTTTCCTCTTCACTCAATTGATTTAGTCATTGCTTCAGAGTCAAGATGATGTATATTGGTGGTCTGCTACAATGTCAAGATGACATATATCGATGATTAGCTACAATTTGACACATATCGTAACTTAAGACTGTGTTTTAGTTTTTTAACATCACAAATATTAATTAATTAAGAAAAAATTGTAATTCAAATTAATTAAAATAGTTTGTGATCTAAATTGGTTAAATAGAATTGATATTATTTCATTACTTTCTTAAACTAAAAATAATGATTAATTAAAATTTTAATTCAATTAACCAAAATTTAATTAATAAATAAATATTTATTAAAAAGTTAAAGTTGAAAAGTTTTATTTTTAAAAATTTAGCCCATATTTCAAGTGAGTTCTCAATAATTTGGCAAAATCTTAAAAATGATATGTTCTTTTACATA